CAAGGAGCAGGGAGCCTGATGCGGGACTCGATCCCAGGACCCTGGGATCATGACCTGAGCTGAAGGCAGACGCTTAACCATCTGAGCCACCCAGGCGCCCAAAGGGAAATTTTCAATCACATCTGTAGAGAAAAGTTTTATAAATTCCTTTGTACCAGTCACCTCAGTATAACCATTGACTCTGTCATTTTCATTTAATCTAATCCCCAATTTTTTTTTAAGATTTTATTTTTTTATTTGAGAGAGAGAGAATGAGAGGAGCACAAGAGGGGGGAGGGTCAGAGGGAGAAGCAGACTCCCCACTGAGCAGGGAGCCTGAAGTGGGACTCGATCCTGGGACCCCAGGATCGTGACCTGAGCTGAAGGCAGTCACTTAACCAACTGAGCCACCCAGGTGCCGTGAATCCCCAATTTTTTTATTCATTAAATTTACAAGTAAAATTTTAAGTCATAATGTTTCATAGGTTACTTGTTTTTTTCCTCTTTAGTGATACATAAAACAATAATGTTTATAATCTTATTGGCATTATAGATTTCATGAAATACTGTATTTGATGTACATTAGTAACCATGTCAAATCTCTAATTTTAGCTGTTACTTATAGAACTATCTTTCTAGTAAAATTTTCTTTCTCAAGTCCTGAGTCCCTATTCAGTGAGGCACTGAGTGTGGGTAATTTTGTTTTTTGTTCTTTAGAGATTCCAGAGAGTGGCATGGTGCCAGGGATCATTTTGGTGACAGAAGAAGAACTTACTAGGTGTATTGAGGATGTATTTAAGGTTGGTAATTTGAGTCACTAATGTTTTTAGCTAATATTTATACTTAGTCTTTTAAAAGAGTTTTGCCTTTTTAATTGGTACTTCAAGAATTGGAATGACTAATCTTGAATTCCAAATGATCAATATTTTTTCACTCTGAAAACTGGAAACTAAGCTGTTATTAAAAATCTGATACATTTTGAAACTGTCAATTTCATCATTTACTCTGAATGTTAAACAGTTTAGATTCTCTAAGTAGCACATACCACTGATGAAAACATATCTTTTGAAGAAACTAACAGTGACATTGCAATACTGTAGGTTTCCAAAACTGTATGATAGTATTGAATCTACTTTATATCTTTTGATAGTAATCACTATCATAAAAAGTCTGAATAAATGAATCTTGCAAATGACTACCTAAATATATTACTGAAAATGGAAAAAAATATATATTCTCTATGATTGCGGTCTTATAAATATATATGAAACATATATTTTTAGACAAAAAATGAAATCCATTGTGTGAGGGCCAGATGGAGCTGGGTAAGTATTCTTCTTTAAAGTTTATTTCAATAAATTTATAATAGTATTTTATTATTAAAAATATCCATACTAGTAAACAGCTTTCAAAATTATATTCCATGTAAAAAGGTACATCTGCTCTGGAAAATAGTTTGGCAGTTCCTCAAAAAGTTAAACATGGAGTTACTATTATATGACCCAGTAATTCCACTCTTACGTATATACCCAAGAGAAATGAAAACATGTTCAGACACAAACCTGTGCACAGATGTTCATTGCAGCATTATTAATAATAACCAAAACGTGGGAACAGCCCAGGTGTCTATCAACTGATAAATGGATAAGCAAATGTGATACATCCATATAATGAAATATTTTTTCGCCATAAAAAAGAATGAAGTATGGACACATTGCCACAACACAATCATTTAAAAATAACAATTTAAAAAAATTTTTTTTAAAGATTTTGTTTATTTGACAGAGACAGACACAGCAAGAGAGGGAACACAGGCAGGGGGAGTGGGAGAGGGAGAAGCAGGCTTCCCGCCGAGCAGAGAGCCCGATGCGGGGCTCGATCCCAGGACCCCGGGATCATGACCCGAGCCGAAGGCAGACGCTTAACGACTGAGCCACTGAGGTGCCCTAAAAATAACAATTTTTAAACTTTAAGAGAAACCAGAAACATAAGACCAGACATTGTATGATTCTATTTACATAGAATATTCAGAATAGGCAAATTCATAGAGACAGAAAGTAGATGAGTGGTTGCTAGGGCCTGGGGATGGAGAATTAGAAATGGCTGTTAATGGGTATGGGGTTTCTTTTTGACGTAAGGAAAATGTTCTGGAATTAGACAGTGGTGATCGTTATACAACTTTGTGAATATACAAAAAGCCACTTAGTTGTACATTTTAAGAGTGCATTTTATGGCATGTGAATTATTCATAATTTTAAAATTCTACATTTCCCATTTCTGTAGCAGTAAATTAAACATTTTAAATGTTTAGCTTTTTATGAACTAATTTAGACATACAAAAAAAATTAGTAGTAAAACACTCATGAACCCACCACTTAGCTTAAGAAATTAAACATTACCAATTCAGTTGAAATCTTCTATCTGCCTACCCCTGGTCACATTTCTCTTGCTTCCTACCTGAAGATGCATTGTGGTTTTAATTAACAGTTCTCTTATTACTAGTGAGTTGAACATCTTTTTGTGTTCTTAGTTCATTCATAATTTTCCCTTCTGTAAATTTCCTAATCATATATTTTGCCCATTTAAAAAATGGGGTTGTTTGCCTCTTCAGAATTTTTTAAGAATAAACCTTTTATTATAAAACAGTTTTATTGAGATATACTTTACAGACCATAGGATGTTTTAAGTATACAAGTCAATGATTTTTAGTAAGTTTATAGAGTTAAACTGTCACCAGAATATAATTTTAGGACATTCCCATTACCCCACAAAGATCCCTGTGCCTATTTACAGTCACTCCTTGTTCCTACCCTCAGCCCCCAGCAACCCCTAGTCTGCTGTCTACCTCTGTGGATTTGCCTTTTGTGGCTGTTTCCTGGGAGGGAACCATGCAACGTGTGATTTTTTGTGGCTAGTTTCTCTCTCTTAGCATAATGGTGTTTGTTTGTTTGTTTGTTTGTTTTAAGTAATCTCTGTGCCCAAAATGGGGCTTGAACTTATGAGCCTGAGATCAGGAATCACATGCTCTACCAACTGAGCCAGCCAGGAGCCCCTCTCTTAGCATAATGTTCTGAGATTTATCCAGGTGGTTTCATATATCAATATTTTGTCCCTTTTAATTGCTAAGTAATATACCATCGTATGAATATACAACATTTTGTTTATTTGTTCATCAGTTGATGGACATTTGACTGTAGAGTAAATCTTTCTTTTTTAAAATTTTTTTCCGGGCACCTGGGTGGCTCAGTCGTTAAGCGTCTGCCTTCGGCTCAGGTCATGATCCCAGGGTCCTGGATTCAAGTCCCACATCAGGCTCCCTGCTTGCTGGGAAGCCTGCTTCTCCTTCTCCCACTCCCCCTGGTTGTGTTCCTGCTTCACTATCTCTGTCTTTGTCAAATAAATAAATAAAATCTTTAAAAAATAAATAAAATAAATTTTTTTAGTTTAAATTCATTAATTAACATATATTATTGGTTTCAGAGGTAGAGGTCAGTAATTCATCAGTCTTATATAATACCCGGTGCTCATTACATCATGTGCCCTCCTTAATGTCTATCACCCAGTTACGCCCACTCCCCTCCCATCCAGCAGCCCTCAGTTTGTCTCTAACCATAAGAGTTACAGAGTATAGAAAACAAACTGAGGGTTGATGGAAGGAGGTGGGTAGGAGATGGGTTAGATGGGTGATGGGTATTAAAGAGGGTACTTGTGATGAGTTCTGGGTGTTGTATCTAAGTGATGAAGCACTGAATTCTACTCCAGAAACCAATATTGCACTGTATGTTAACTAAAAGTTAAATAAAAAAATAAATAAAACAGCTTTATAAGGTATAATTCACATACGTTACAGTTCACCCATTTGAAGTGTGCAAGTCAGGGCACCTGTGTGGCTCAGTTGGTTCATTCTGACTCTCAATTCTGTCTCATCAGGATCCTCAGGGTGGTAAGACTGAGTCCTGCATCAGGCTCCGTGCTCAGTGGGGAGCCTGCTTGAGATTCTCTCACCATCTCCCTCTACCCCTGCCCCCTCCTCCCCACCCCACACTCTGTCTCTCTCTATGTCTCTCTCAATAAATAATCTTTAAAAAAATGAAAAATAAAAAAATAATAAAGTATGCAAATCAGTGGCTTTTTATTATATTCAAAGGTTTGTGCAGCCATCGTCACAACTGATTTTAGGATACTTCATTACCCAAAAAGAAACCTCACACTACTCCCTAAGCCCTCCACCACACTTCCCTCCACTCTCCCTACCCCTCACCCCTCCAGCCCCAGGCAGCCACTAATCGACTTTCTCTTTCTCTAGATTTGCCTATTCTGGACATTCCATGTACATGGAATTATACAATATGTAGTCTTTTTTTTTTTTTTTTAAAGATTTTATTTATTTGACAGAGAGACACACAGCGAGAGAGGGAACACAAGCAGGGGGAGTGAGAGAGGGAGAAGTAGGCTTCCCGCCGAGCAGAGAGCCCAATGCGGGGCTCGATCCCAGGACCCTGGGATCATGACCTGAGCTGAAGGCAGACGCCCAACGACTGAGCCACCCAGGCGCCCCAATATGTAGTCTTTTGTGATTGGCTTCTTTTGCTTAGCATGATGTTTTTCAGGTTTATATTGTATGAAGCAGGACTTCGTTCTTTTTTTTTTTAAAGATTTTATTTATTTATTTGACAGAGAGAGAGAACACAAGTAGGCAGAGTGGCAGGCAGAGGGAGAGGGAAAAGCAGGCTCTCTGATGAGCAGGGAGCCTGATGCGGGGTTCGATCCCAGGACCCTGGGATCATGACCTGAGCCGAAGGCAGATGCTTAACCGACTGAGCCACCTGTGCGCCCCTCTTTTTTTTTTTAAGATTTTAAAAAATTTTTTTATTTTTAAGTAATCTCTACACCCAACATGGGGCTTGAAATCACAACCCTTAGATCAAGAGTCGCACGCTCTACTGACATAGCCAGCCAGGTGCCCCAAGACGTCATTCCTTTTTATTGCTGAATAGTATCCTGTTGTAGGTACAGACTGTATTTTGTAATTCATGCATCCTCTGTTGTATGTTTGGGTTGTTTCTACATTTTGGCTGTTATGATTAATGCTACTATGGACATTTGTGTAGGAGTCTTTATGTAACATATGTTTTCATTTCTCTTGGTTATGTTGCTAGATCTTATGGTAACTCTGTGTTTAACCTGAGTAGAATTGCTAGATCTTATAGTAAGTCTGTATTTAACCATTTGAAGAACTGCCAAAGTGGTCGCACCATTTTACATTCCCTCTAGCAGTGTATGAGGGTATAGAGTAAATCTTAAGTTATGTTCTTTCAGGTAAGAAGACAGATGCTTTTGTTTTGTTTTGTTTTAAACTTTATGTATGATATTAATAATTTGTAGATATAAAGTGCATGCTGAAACATTCAAAACTCATTCTCTACAACACTCAGCTTTTTACTAAAGTAAGATGTTTACTACCCTTTCATTTAATTTTGCTATTAAAGAAAAGAGAGAGAATACTCTTTAGAGGGTTGACCTGGCATACAAATATAGAATTAAATAGCTTATAGATAAAACATGACATGGTGACTTAGTGAATATAATGCTGTTTTTATTTTATTTATTTATTTATTTATTTTTAAAGATTTTATTTATTTGACAGAGACAGCGAGAGAGGGAACACAAGCAGGGGGGGTAGTGTGAGAGGGAGAAGCAGGCTTCCCATTGAGCAGGGAGCCCAATATGGGGCTTGATCCCAGGACCCTGGGATCATGACCTGAGCTGAAGGCAGACGCTTAACGACTGAGCCACCCGG